CAATTGTTATAATATATTAAGCCAGGTTTTTTACTGATACTTGACTCATTTAATAATCTTAAGAGAATGTATTTAAAACCCTGATGGAATTTAATTTAATTTTGCTCTCCAAATAAAACGAAGAAAAAGCAGTAAATTAGCTGAATAGTATCCAGCTATTAAAATATGTGTAAAAAACAACAACAGAAAAGCAAGCTATTTAAACCAAAACAAAACAGGAAAACGCAAATGAATGTTGATGTAGAATGCTGGTGTATTTTTAATTTAAGATTATAGAATTCAGTTAACTAAGTCTTGAATTTGATAAATGAGTATTTCATAGATACACGACTTTATAATATAATATGCGATTGAAATAAAAATTATTTTTGTGGGAGATGTTAACTTTAATACACAGGAGATAAGTTATAAAGAATATATACTCGTAAATTGTACAAAAGCAAACTTCGGTAAAAATATAGTTGTGTGACAACAGGCTGAGAAAGACTGAAAGTGTCACTGGTAGATAATTTCCACTAGTTGGAGCCGTTTCCACAGCAGGTAAAACAGTGGTGGTCAACGGGCATAAACTGTGAACCATTGGTCAGTAGTGAATCTCTTCAAGCTGGAATGTATTCTGCAATTATGATCATGGCTCATAATGAAAGCTGAGTTTGTGCATGGCTGTGTGATGAGTTTCACAAGTAGCTGATTGCCCTAATTCAGATACTGATTAGCCTCCTAATTGGTGTATTCCTTGAGAATGTTTATCAACCTACACTTGTGCCATCAGTAGTACCTCAGCCAAGCATTGACTGAGAACCTACAAGGGAGAAGTGTGAACTGCAACACAGGTGGCAGATATTCACAGAGACGACACACTTTCAGCTATGTTGGTAGCTCTTTGTGTTTTATTAGACGATCTTCTTTATAGTTATAACTGGCTTTCTGTTCTTGGCTGCGATGTTTTAACACCATTATCTGATGGAATATTAGGTATTATTTATTGTCACATTTGGAGCCAGTGTTGATGCATAAGTTAACATCAAGATTCACACTGGAAAATCATTGTTGTAGCTAGTGGTGCTTTTGCTGGTGTTGGCACAATGATTGATGCCATCTGGGTGGTTGTTCTTGGGGTTGTGAGCAAAAGAGCTGGATCCATGGAATGGCCTTTTCATTTGATTGTAAAGTTGTGTGATGGTCTTGCTGGGATGAGTGATGCAGTGGTCCCACTGGAGGTGGATTCACATCCCATGATTGTTGCCATCTTCTACAAAACATCTTCTGACAGGGACTTGTACTTCTTTTCCTGGTGATGCATTGTGTCTTCCATGGACCTGGGTTTCACCATCTTGGACTTTACACTACTTTACATCAAGTAGGGTTGATTCTGACCTTGGCTGAACTGACCATATGGCTGGCACACTGGATCTTGTGAGCTCTCTGAACCCACAACCCTTGGCTTCGTGGTTTGTACTACTAATGGTGAGATGACAAGTGGCATTTCCTGATATTCTGAAGTCTGGAGGGCTAATCCAATAGTTGAAGCATTCAGAGCCTGCATCGTCCACCAGTGTTTTCATCCATGAATTCCAACAATATGAAAGTAAGACCCACCCCATGTGTAGTAGGCAATGCCAGAAACTCTGAAGCACCCACAAAATTAAACAGAAATATTCGCCATTAATTTCTTTCATTGTTCATCATTGTTTCATTGAAACATTGAGAATACTGGCAGGTTAGAAAAAAAAACAACAACAAGATATCCAGAATGTTGAAGAACTCGATCTTAAATAGGAAAAGTAAGCATTGAAAATGTAGGTTTGGTTTGAAAGAACTCTGACTGGTCAGAATAACTTGGTCTAAAATTTTAAGGTTTCTGTTACGAAAATACTTTACACTGAAAATCCCCTTTGGACAAAGTTTGAAAATAAAAAATATACTTGTGGTCAAGCTTCAGATCTAAAGGCTCATGATTAAAGTGCCTGTAGAAAAAAAATCCCTGCTACATGCAGGTTGCAGTCAATGCAGGCATCCTTGGGTTTTGAGCTTTACCTAAACCTCAGCTGTACTTTCCACGTCATATTACCTTTACTACCATTTTGTTTTTATAAAATCTGAACCTGAGTCCAGTAGGAAATAAATGACATGTGTGTGTGTGTGTGTGACCAACCTAGATTAAACACACTTGGATAGTGACCTGATTTTTCTACGATGTAACTTTCCTTTAAGTTCAGTACAGCTTACCTCCAGCATTATATTTTCATGCACTCTAATTGACCTTATAATGAAAAATGTTAAGAATATATTTAAAAACTATGTGCTTTGGAAATACTCCTATCTGCCTGATCAGAAGCATTTCACATAATCAAACAAAACGTTGGGGATATCAAGTTATATTTGTTATGTTTAGTAATGCTGTTTACGAATTTTACTTTTTTTACAGACAATTTCAACTCAGTCACTTACATTTCAGTTGGACCTCATTATAATGTTAGCAGCTAACATTTACGAAACACAGATCAAATAGTGTTTTCCTGCAAGTGTGGTGTGAGTTTATCCATTACTCTCATGTCTTTCTGTAAAATTCACTACCTGCTGAGTGTTTCATTATGAAAAACTGAAACATTCTTGTATCCACATTAAATTAACCAAAACGCTCGCTGTTTTTTCGCATAAAGTCCAACAGTCCAGTGCCATAGTTAACTTCATAACTCTAAGTCATTCTGATCAAATTATCGTACTTTCAATCAAAAGTTTCCCTGTGGTTAACTAGTATTCTCACTGATAGATTCATTTTGTGTTGGCCTATGAATGACTTTGTGTAAAATTTTATATATGTATGCAAACCTCACACACGTTGTCACAAACATACATTGTATGTAAACGCATGTTTCCAACTTCCGCACATTGCCACATACATTAGTAGCTTTCGACAGATTGCCTCAGGTGTCTGTGACATTACTGTTGTAAATTATGTGGTCTACTTTCGTAAACTATTTGTTGGTAGTCGTTGTTCAATAATGTTCTGCCATCTGTGAGTAGTGAAACTCAACAGAATGCTAGAGACTTTTTGAAATAAATCATTCCTGGCAGAATCAGTATACAACAAAACACCTTCAAATTAACTAATACAAAAACTAACAGTAAATTGTCATTCACTGTTCCGGATGGCCATCAACTATGGACTGGTGAAACACCATATAGCTTCACACTTATGGTGGTTGGCATCATAGCAAAGCAAACATAGGTAATCACAATAAAACAAGACCTATTCCTTTGAAATCAGATGTCTAATCCACTTTATGTACTTTTGGAGAGCACAATTACCTCTTTGCACGTGGAGGAGTTATAAACATTTAAGTATATAGTAGAATTCTTTTTCTAGAGAATCACGCAGCCTATACAGGTAAGTTGCTGCTACCCCAAAAAGGAGCATTTCCATTTAGGAACGCGGAAAACAAGGGTCACAGCACCCTTTCAATTGTCGGTTTCTCGAATGATCAACTGTTCTAATTTTTAAACCAGTAGTAATTGTACGATGCTGTATATACATGATATCTTACACCATTACCCAGACTCTTGGAAAGCAAGAGTCGATAAGCCGTTTCAGTTATTAGTGGCCCAACCAAATGACCATTTAAGCTCGTGGAGCACTTAACTCAAGCCCTAACGATAATAAATATTTACTTTGCTAAACTTTTCCCAGTATGTTTTTAGATCACAGCAAATTCTGAAATTATCGGAATTTGTTTTGCTAACTTTTAGCTTGAGCATTTGGATTTCCTGTTTTATTTTAACTTAATTTGTCGGGGTTATTTATATATATTGTTACGTCTCTGGTCCTTTGTTAATTTTCCGTAAAATTTCCTCCCGACGAACTTCAGCGATACAAGTTCTTTCTTAAATAAAACTAGTTTATTCTTCCTCAATACGACTTTGCAATACACAGAATTTCCACAGTGACTTTAACTTAAACACACGCTATAATTCACAATGATTTACACGCTTTACTTACGGCTTGACTCGATTATCTGCCTCTATATCTCCCTTCAATCTGCTATTATTTATGCTGTCACTTTATTTACCGGGGTTATATAAAAAAAAATAGAGGGCGTCTAGCAAAGACTAGAGTTGCCAGGAACAGTCATGATCCTTCTAGAAACTCCAGCGCGCATGCTTCCAGAGTCACGTGACTTCTGCTGTCGTAACAATATTTTATTGTACGTTTAGCTTGACTAAGAGGATGGGGTGGCAATTTGAAATGGTGAGAGAAACTATTAGAGGTTTTTTCTACACCTCTTACACGTCTTTGTTTTGTATTAAAGCTGAATAAAAAAAATTGGGATTCTGCATTGTCTCTTTCTAAAGATTTCGGGGAAAAAACATACTCCGTGACCCGATTTAAGTGAACCTTCAATTATCAGGCCTTAAGAGACTATTCTTAGGTCAATTCGCTGGCACAATAATACCACAACTGTTACATCCAGTGACAACCAGGCCTGTCTTCCAATATCAGGGCTCCTCAGGTTGGCTGGAATACGACAGAAATATTGTTGTGGTTCAGACGCTATTAATATTAGGAAAAATTGTTTTACAACAACTTTTAAAGTATGAACTGGATAAGATGATGTATGATTTTTAATTAATTTTATTTTTGTCACTACACGTTGGAATTAGAGTAAAGATTATTCAAAACTATGTTATTTAGTGATTTTAAGATCACATATTACTAATTATTGTTGTTTTCTCGAATTAACCTGCTCATTATTCAGAAACTGGCTGTTTAATTTAAATGTGTTTAATAATTGATTAAATTATTTCTCAGAGAATGTTACACATATGACTTTAATAATAAAATTTGTTTTGATTATACTTTATATGCTTTTTTTTCTGTTTTAGATTTTATTCTTCCCATTTTTTGAAGTACTTACGGGAAATTTAACCTCATAAGTTTACCTCACCCTAACAGGAATGGTTTCTTCCCAGACACGCTAGAAGTTTTCTATAAAAGCTACAACCCGGCGCGCGATGTTGTTGTGTCAGAGATTTTGTTCACTTATTGTTAAGAGTCTGGAGTTAAAGAAAAGTTAAAACAATTTACTAATCAAAGATGTCTACAAAGTGGTTACCTCTTGAATCAAATCCTGATGTAAGTATTGGTAATATTAATAACGAAGTTAAATATAAAGTACGATAGAGTAAGTTTTTGTATAAATATGTAAAATTGTTAGTAAAGTTTGATATGACTTAGGCCTATTATGTATTACTGCAGTGGCGTCTAAATTTAGCATGGGACTATTGTAATTTATATAGCGTTAGTTAGACGTTATACTGTACTGTTGTATTATTCATATTGTAAAGTTTAAACATTTCTTTGGGTAAATCCGTGTTTGAGAAATGTATAATTCATTAACTTATCATTTTTTTTCAGGTAATGAATAAGGTAAGCAGTATCCAGAATATTCTGACCCAAGCTGGTTCATTCAAAGTTATGAGTTGGAGCCGGTACCGGCGGCACTCTATTGTTACCGGCAGGTGTTGTCAACTTGAGTTCCAGGAAAGACTGATGCATGTCAAGCATAAACGGTCGTAGTAGCGTTTAACTGGTTACGAAATCTCCTTGAACTGTATTGTTCAGTTACTCCATGATTCAATATCGATTCATTCCTTCCAAATAAGTCGTAATCAACCCTACTTTGGAATCATTCCTTTGTTTGAAATAAATGTAGCTTCATCCGTACGAAGTTTAGGCTAAGCATATTAAAAAAAATTAAAATATTTTAATAATGCAATCTTTGTTCATCAGTTTCTTCTGGTAGGATTTTTTCTCTCTTTCTTCAGTCACTATAGTTTTTATAATAGTACCTGTAGAGAACTTTTTAGTAACTGAAGTGGGGGAGAAAAAATATTTAAGTTTGTAATAATAAAACGATGCTTGAAAATGTCAGTTTTGTGTTCTTCAATAACACTAAATGTAATTTGTTAGAAGTTAATTATTTAAGAATACTCTTCTTGATGTGCATTTATATTTTCAAATTAAGACCTATAGCTGTGGATTAAGCAGTTTTTGGTTCTTAACTTTCTAATGTTAACAGTAAATTAGACCAGACATTAATACCACCATGGTTAAGTTCTATTTATAATGGTACTTTAGTCTTAAAGTATGAATTTTCTGATTATTTAAAAATGCTTGTATCAGAGTAAGTTGTGACATGTAAACAGATTATGTTTAAATGTTTCTTTCCTATGGAAGGCTTTAACTTGCAGAGTTTCAAATCATTAGTGAATAACTTGAACTGTTAAATACTTAAAGAAATGCATGATAGTTATGACTTTGGAATTTTCTGTTATTGGTATTGCTAATTCATCTAATAAAGAAGGCTTCTTTACTATACAGAAGTTTGAACACCTAGTTAGCTCAGTTAATTCTTTCATTTTATTAATAAGATTTTATTTCTAAATTCCTGGATACACGTTTCTTTTTTGTTTCAGTTTATTTACAAACTAGGAGTGCCAAAGGACTGGTCTGTTGTTGATGTTTTTGGTTTAGATGATGAGTTGTTGTCTACAATTCCTAGTCCAGTACTTGCTGTGTTACTACTTTACCCCCTGGGGAAGGAGGTGAATTGTTTTCTAATTTTGTATTCACACCCGAAGCAAATAATACCTACATTTGATGATAAACAATTTACTTTTCCATATGCATCTACGCTTATTTTAAAACTACTAAAGTGTTTCTATTTATACACAATAGATTATTTTTAAACAAACAAACAAATTAGTTAAGCAAAGATAATGTAATTGTTTTTAAAAAAGGGTTTGTGATAACAAATTGGGAAGAGAAATTTAACTGTATTAACATCCAATAGTTTTTGTTCTTAGTTTATTTGTAATGCATGTAATCTGGCTTGATGTATACTCTTAATCTCAAGTTAAGATTGTAATGAAAATGTCAAGTTTAGTTTGTCCCAGTAATAGTGTATTAAATGAAGTGTCATTTTCATAATTAGTTTTTTTATTATTAGCATGACAAGCTTGTGAAGGAAGAAGAGGAGAGGATCAAATCTTCTGGTCAGTCTGTAAGTGACCAGGTCTACTTCTTGCATCAGACTATCAGGAATGCTTGTGGAACTGTTGCTCTTCTGCATGCTGTTGCTAATAACACTGGTCGCATCAAACTAGGTGAGATGTTTGTCCAAGTGTTGTCTTGTATGTTGTTGTTAATAACACTGGTCGCGTCAAACTAGGTGAGACGTTTGTCCAAGTGTTGTTGTTAATAACACTGGTCGCATCAAACTAGGTGAGACGTTTGTCCAAGTGTTGTCTTGTATGTTGTTGCTAATAACTCTTGTCGCATCAAACTAGGTGAGACGTTTGTCCAAGTGTTGTCTTGTATGTTGTTGCTAATAACTC